CTACTATTTCTAGCACATCACAATTTTTTGTGGTGCTCTCCAAATGTCACGTACATGTAGCGTAGACCTTTCCATAGACGTTACAGTTTAGGTCTATCCACATGCTGAATGACACTCGTGGTTTCCTGTCGTAATCAGTAAACCTCATCAGAAGGGAAGGTCCCAAATTGGCAGCGTTGGAGCACGAGGCTGAAACCAAGCAAATCAGTCATTGTAAAGGTTGACCTGTCATGTGGAACATGGGGAGGGGGTTCTGTATGTTTGGCTATACTTGGAAGTGTAGCTGAAAATTATGAAACTATTGGTCGAGGATTATAGATGCTTTGATTTTGCAAGCGTAGACATAATAATACTATGCTTTATTTTGAAGTGTACCAATCGCTAAAGAAAATCAAATCTGTGAATAGCTAGAATTTGTAAAATCAACATCCAAATACTTCACCTGGCATTTTAAAGGTAAACTGATAAAGACTTTTCTGACTACTGCTACTGCTGCTGGAGCGCATTGCCACTACTGGTGTTCCATTATGATTACCCTACAGCGCTCAAGCATTTTAATTCCTGCCAGGTTCCCATTTTCCTCACCTGGGTGGAGTGTGGCAAATGTAGATTAATGTTTTGCCAAAGGAAATTAGTGCTGCAACAATGATTCAAACCCGTACCTTGTGGTTTACAGTCCAGAGACTACCACTACCACTGCCACCAACACTGCCACCAACACTGCCACCAACATCGCCACTACCACTGATGCTACCACTACTACTGCCACCACCACCATTCCCACCGCGAATATCACTACTTCTACCACTTTATATACAAGTGGAATGATACTTCCTTATTCTGCATCTGGACCTAGCATCATGTTGATGATGTTGCCAGAGGCAACGTATCCCATGACGTGGCCGAGTTAGTGATGCAAGTCCCTTCCTTGCCAGTACCACATTAGAGAGCAGTAGAAGATAAACGTGACCTGACAGCCTCATCGCTCATTCATCGCCCTCATCATCATGAAGAGGGGGATGATTAACAGACCACTCACACTAGAGAAAAATTATCAACAATTTGTATACTGGTAAAGAAACATCAATGAATTAAAGGGATTGGGTAACTTTGTCTCAGATTCTGAAACAAAATCCTTGATTTAGCTCATGCTGCAATGATAATTATAAACCTTTAGGTCAGTCAAGAACCCCATGACTTTTACAAGCCTGTCGCCTGTCTGATTATCAAGAAAATTATGATTGGAAATTGAAATTTAAAAATTTGTTTTCCTAACGGTTTTTATAACACTACAGTCTATTGGGGAAAATGAGTATGGTAAAACTGGTCATGCAAAGATTTGTACTGTTTTGAGGCACTTCATGATCATTGTGAAGCGCCATTTTGTTCAGGGCTTCAATATTACACCATATCCCAGACACTGATAACACCTAGGGCCATGCATCTCAGATTTAACATTGTTAAACGATGCCTTTAAGAATTAAAAGAAACACCAATGCATTAATGAATGATTGCATACATGCAGTAATAAAGGCATGAACAAGAACATCATAATGTAGCTTAGGGAAGGTCAGCTCTCATTAGTGTCAGCTATTGTCAATGGCATTGTTAAAAGGTGAAAACTAGAGTTGACCTGTCTTATCAGTACGCAGTCACAACAAGCCCCCACCTATAATCGTTTGTTATAATGTTCACACAGGCGGTTGACCCTGTTCCTTTGAACAATGCTTAAAAGTGCATCATTTACCGGTACTAATTTTGTGATATACATGTACATGTACTGTACTACATTCAGATGAGGGAAAAAAATGAATTACTTATAACTTTTGCTAGTCCAAACAGTAATTTGACATTTTCTCCTGACAAAATTGCTCCAGGCGTCATTTTGGTTACAATAAATTCAGGTTAGGTCAAGAACAACCTTTGTTTAAATAGTATGCATAAAATTTGAATATGTTAAAGTAAACTGGTCTAATGTCTCTCAGCATGAGTTGCTACAGGTACTTGCTAGAGCATGTGTTGCTACTTGCTAGAGCAAGTGTTGTACAATCGAGGTACCAGATAACCAGTCCGAGGTACCCGATGACCAGTCCGAGGTACCCGATGACCAGTCCAAGGTACCCGATGACCAGTCCCAGGTACATGTACCGATGACCAGTCTGAACGGGGGTAGAATTGCCCGATTGTCTCACCATCTGGCTGGTGTACATGTACCCTATCCTGGGAGAGTGCAAACATGATCAGGCTTTTAATATTACCCCCACCATACTCATAGCCTTGATCATGACAACCTCAATTAATACAGGAATGCTGCTTGAACCATAGGCCAAGTTCATGCAGTGCCTAACACTACATCCATCCATGCAAAGTTATTTACAATGTTGAATTAATCCTAGTTTGTTGCAGTTATATGCACTTCTAGATTAATACCTGACTAGATCATTCTCGACAGCTGTTCCTTTTATTTTATTACTATTTATAGTTAGTATGTGTCCACCATGTGTATGTTAATGGTAGGTTTCTTGACTGTAACGAGTGTAACGAGTATCCATATTGGCCTACATACTGGATATACATGTACACTTGTACCAGAGTATGATATGTCTTTGACTATTACACAGTGTACTGTACACTGTACTATGAAAAAGTATTGATGTACATGTATGCCCTTTTGTGCTAAGACCTTCAAACAGATATCATGATAAATGTGGTAAATATGATACAGCGAACAGAATTTTGGTTTTGAAAGCAACTTAAACCAGTGGTGTTCTATATTTTGAAAGTGTTGAGGGTTAAAAATCAAAACAAAACAAAACCAATTATAAGTTGATGTAGATTTCTGAGCGAAACATGAACGTGGGTGTTACAAAACTGCAGGATCAAGAGCACTTTTACTTTGGAACAAACCAAATATGGGCACCATTTATCAATGTGTACCGGTACTCTTGAATTATTTAGAGAACTCAATACACCAATTTATATCTATTTACACTTGTACTGTCATTACGGTAGTAACAATGTTAAAATGTTGGAGAATCCCAATAACGAAAGAGAGAAAGGAAATCTGGAAAACAGGAATGTAAGAGAAGGGGAGAGGGAAAGAGATAGAGAAGAAAAGGAGTGGGATATACAGTGAGTGAGAGAGAAGGAGAGAGAGAGAGAGAGAGAAGGAGAAGAGGGTGAGAGTGACGGACTCGTACAATACAAGGATCAATCGTTGAAACGCACTGTGCATGACTGCATGGCTAATGCAGTTTAAAACTGGGGTAAATCCCCAAACAATGCACTATGATGTGAAGGAAATAATATCACCACTGCACATGGTTGGGTTTTTGATTGGTACCGGTAGACCAATTGACTTGTTGACAATGGTATTTCTGAGCTGAATCGTGAACTCTACTATTTTAAATTTCTGTTGATTTTGTTTTGTTTTGTTCACCCTGGTGAAAATGTCAAGTTAAATGGTATTTATCAATGGTTGAATTGATTTAGTTGTCCTAATTATAGGTGATATTGGTATTTGAGGAATTTTACTTTTGTTTGGAAAATGTATACAATTTCAGTATTTTATTGTCTTCTATGATAATAGGAATTTGGGTGAAAACAATACTACTTTTAAGTAATACTTTGGTAATTTTGGCATAGGCATATTATATTTGTAGATTGTGTCAAAAAGCAGCTTTAAAGAATATTAAAGATATTGCTTCAATTACCATAATCAAGGAGAGGCATCTTCTTTCATTTTGTTCAATTCTTTGTAATATCACTCCAAGAAACTATCAACTTAAAGATGGACAATCCAATCACCTTACCATGACCCCCACCTTTATACTGACTAACGGTATACCACTGACCATAGACACTCTGGGTGGATGTCAAATTTAGAGTGGAAATTCAACAAGGATATCATTAATTCCTGCCGACTTGGGGGAGAGAGACAGAGACACAGAGACAGAGAGAGAGATATATATATAGAGAGAGAGAGACACAGAGAGAGAGATAGGATTTGATATGATGGACGGGCTTGTTGGCATTCTGACCTCTGCAGTGGCAAAGGCCTTTCCTTACAGTAGCAAGATAAAGACAAGATATCATGAAGGTTTTCATGTTTGTTTATACTTGTTGTTTATAAACAAATTGTATTCACAAGATTTGCAGTGGAGCTCTTTGTTGTTTGGATCCACTGTATGTGACAGATATGAATACATGTACATGTAATACTGTACTGTAGAAGGGTTTATAGACATTTGGTCTACAACCAGTTACCAGTTCGTCTACTACCCAATTAGTATATTCCTATATGATCTATACCCAGCCCGTCTACTATCCACATGGTCCAATAATCATTGGTCTACTTATCATTTGGTATAATGACCATGTAGGCTAAAGTCATTTGGTCTATTGTCCATTTGGTCTAATCTCCAATAAGTATATTACCCATTTGATCTATCACTCATTTGGTATTGATGCCAGTTGGTCCAGAGCCATCTATACACAGAGTTTGGCCAACCCGGACACAATATGGGGACTACTGCTTTGTTGGGCAAGCACAAAACAAAAGAATATACACCATGTTATGACCCATTGAAACCAAGTTGGCCAAACTCTGTGTATAGATGGCTCTGAGTTCGTCTATTCCCAGTTTGTGTAATGCCCATTATGTCTACCATCCATAACACTAGTTCTTATACTGGTAATCATTTGATGATTGTTATTATTAATGATTACATGTAAATGATTATGCTCTCAAATTCATATCAGTTTCCGCCATATTTCAACCCTTTCCTTTCATTGTAGGAGGCATTTTGGTCTAAATTCCATTTGGTCTATCACTCATTTGGTCTAAATGCCAGTCGGTCTAATTCCCAGTTTGTGTAATGCGTCTACCAGCCATTAGTTCTAATAATCATTTGATGATTATTATAATTTATGATTGAATGATTATGCTCTCAAATTCATATCAGTTTCCATCATATTTCAACCCCTTTCTCTCTTTGTAGGAGGCATTTTGGTGCATGGTCCAGATCTGTGAACGCTACTTGACGGGTTACTACAGCCCTGGGTTAGAGGCTGTTCAGGTGGATGGTGAAGTCCTGTTTGGTCTCGTCAAGAAAGTTCTACCTTCGACACACAAACATATGGTGAGTAACGCTAGATGAGATGTAATGGTCACTTTGGACAGAAGAAAATTGAATTAAATTAATAGCTTTACTCACAATCAGCAGTTCATTTAAAATTTTCACTACTTTATGTCAGAAAAATTTGTGAATTGCAAATAACGGTAAATGACGTAAAATGACAGCCACAGAAATAACTTATTTGAAGAAAAAAAGTCATTTGAGATTCAGTTTTTGTTAATTATTTAATTATTCATTTTTTTATTTATTCATTTATTCAATTCTCATATTTATTCCCTTTTTTTTTTTGTCATTAACATTTTAACATTACATTTCATGTAAAGAAAATGTTTTGGTTTAACAATTAAGGCTGATATGTTGCTCTTGATAATACTTATTTAAAGTCTAGTACTATCTTCGCTATGATACATGTAGTCTAGGCAAAGTGATCCGTTACAGTCTGAGACCAATTCCAAACAAGTGCATACTGTCTTGTTCTCTTTCTTCATTAATATTCATTTCTTCATTTTGTTCAAAGACTTGAGATTGTCTTGACGCTGACCTCGAATCTGTTTCTATTTTTCTCCTTTGTTCTTGAAATGATTAAAAACTATTCCACCCACATATTCTCTCTAATTACAAATAGAAACCAATACTGAAAAGAAACCTGTAATTATCATTTTTAAATCTCTTCCTCTACTCGTATTACAATGCCTTATGTTCTGAAAGCTTTCTTCTTAATGGCCAGCAAATGTATGCAAAAACATCTACTATAATTCTACACTTTTCATTTTCTCTTTAGGGATCGGAAGCAAAACATGAGGGGTCCATCGACCCTTTTATATTTTGTCAGATCTCTGATAGTATAGAGCTCTGTATAACACATGCATTTTGTAATGCTCTATTGGTTCACTTTCTACAATCTTTTTTAAGATAACATCATCATCAGATATCAGAAAATGGGACATTTTCTAGCCTACAAGCTATAGAAACGATCACTGAATAAATCTTTTGTGGTCATCACATAAATGTATACTGTATGAATTTCTATGAATTTCATCAGATATCATGAATTACTTTAAATGATCAAGCTTTTGCTGGACATTTAAAGAAGCAAGTTTCAATGCCCCATTAATAGATGGTAACTGTTGATTTCATTTCCATCTGGTTTTGATCTAGATATCCAGGAAATATCTGATCAACTTGTCAGTTTCAGATAGATCTGCCATACTCATCTTATTTTGCATTTCCCTATTTTGTCTTCTTTGAAACAAGCTATTTTGCTTACATCATTCCATTCCGTGTTTACATGAGTATGCACTTTATGCTCCTTTCATATGGAAAAAAGAGGAATAGTTGCGTTACTCTCAACAATGATCGGTGGACTTTGCTATTAAAATGACATTATACCCTTATTCTTTACCATACCATAAAAGGTTCTGCAAAACTGTCTCATGTTGCCTTACATGAACAAAAAGAACGAGGGATAGTTACTTAACTCTTAACGATAATCAGCGGTCTTCGGTTACTGACATACTATACTGCTATTACTTGGTTTTGAATCAGAAGAAACTCAATCTGAACCATGTCTGATTCAGAATGAATCATAAAAGGGCGATGTTGTATTTTTTTTTAAAGAGAGATTGATACTTAGATATATCTTAATAGCAAAGATAATCTTTCATATGTCCCTACAATCATGTTGCATTTAGTACATTACTTCAAAATGGTAATGTTGGGAATTTGCAAAGTGCAACTTCATTGAGATTTTAGAAATAACCGAATAAAACAAAAAACTTTTATAGAAGCCTTTAATTCCTTAGCCAAGAAAGAAGCCTGAAAAATGGAAATAAATTATAGCGCATATAAATCTATCTGGAATTTAAATGTAAATGTACATTGTGTACACTTGCTGGACTTTGTGTCTTGCCACCATTATCTTATCATTGTTTTGCTCTTTTCTCATCTTGTTTCTCCCCCCCCCCCTCCCCCTCCCTCCATCCTCTCTTCTTTCTCTTTCTCTCTCTCCCCCTCCTCCCCTCCCCCTCAACTCTCTACGTTTCTCTTCTTTTCTGTCCATTTGTCCCCCCTCTGACACACACACACTCTCCCTCCCTCCCTCCCTCCCTCCCTCCCCACCCATCTCTCCCTCCCCACCCATCTCTCCCTCCCCACCCATCTCTCCCTTCCCCCTCTCTCCCTTCCCCCTCTCCCTTCCCCCTCTCCCTTCCCCCTCTCCCTTCCCCCTCTCCCTCCCTCCTTCCCTTCCTCCCTCCCTCCCTCCCTCCCTCCCTCCCTCCCTCCTTCTCTTTCTGTCTATCTCTGCTTGAACCCTAAACAGAAGAAGCACCGTATAGAGCCCATCCTGTACATGACAGAGTGGTTCATGTGTCTCTTCGCCAGGACGTTACCTTGGACGTCGGTTCTCAGAGTCTGGGATATGATCTTCTGTGAAGGTGAGCACATTAACCCATTCACTGATTCTCAGGGTGGTCCTTTCGAAAGCGGACTAACCTTAGTCCTTGGTTTAATTCTCGACTAAGTATGGAATGCCAAGTGTTCATATTAATATGTTTTTGAATAATTTAATTTGTCACTAAATTTAAAATAAAATGTAATAACATGATTAATAAACAACAATATAACTGATATAATTATGTTATCATGGTTTAATTTGGGGACATTTCAAATTATTCAAAAATATATTCATATGGACACTTGGCATTCCATACTTAGTCGGTGGATTAAACCAAGGACTAAAGTTAGTCCGCTTTCGAGAATACCACCCTCAATCCCATTAATGTTATGCAGCCACCACCCCAGTTCCCACACTCGGGCAATATAGTCTTCATTGCCCCAGTAACTTGGTACAAACCACCCATATGTGAATATGTATTGTGGGCACGATGGTTATGATTGGGACACTTCTGAGTAGTTGTTATTCACAGATAGCCCCAGCATATGAGGTTTTCACCATCAACTTCAATTTCTTTAGAAATTAATCTGCTTTTCCTACATGTACATGTACTTCGCATTTCCGCTCTCAAAGTTTGACAGAATTGGGGGTACACATGCTTGGAAGTCAATAATTTTTATCATACATATATTTTTGTGGACTACAGGGATACAGATATTTTTGGTAGTTATAGTTTTGGTTAATTCACACAGGCTACTTACAGTACATGTTCGCATATGTATGCATTGCCAGTTCGTTAAAACAAATTGCAAAATTTGTGACCTTACAACAATTGGGAAATTTGCAAAAGCGAAACCCTCATGAAAATAAAAGCTCATACTACACTGCACTGATGATGCATACTATCTCATGTCACATTATCCAACAAGACACAGATCTCTAAAAATACATTCATGAAACGGATGAGACCTTTGATTAGATTGTCTTTCAGATTATTGAGTGACTTCCAGATTTGGGATTTTATAGCAAGGAAAGGGATATCCCAACCTAATACCAAGTTTGGCATATCATTTCCATTTTTTGATCAAATCTTCCGTAATAGGCCTACTAGATGTGTCACACAAACGAGTTTAGTTACTTTTGTATCAAACTTGTAGGATAGGATTACTGATAGTAATCTGTCTATGGTAGATAATGAAAGTGAAAGCCGGCAAAAATATGAAATATATTAATTATGTGCTTCAATTGGTTTAAGGGCTTGTCACATTGGACTGAAACAAAATGGCTTTTTAATTTTTTTTCTTCAAATAAGTCTCCTGGAATGTGTTTGAAAAAGGTATCCATTATTGGTTTGCAATGCCAACAATCAGAGAAATTAGTGTTGAGTTCTCAGCATATATTTGTGAAAATGGAACATGAAGCACCAATATCAAACCCCTTTTCCATATTGCATTTAAGCTTCAGGAGAGCGATTTGGGAACAATTTCATACTTTATCATAGTTATCTTTTAATTTTCAACTCTTTTCTTTACAGTTTTAAAGAAAACAGCACTTTTCTTCTGTAAAGTGCCAAGAATTACAACAAAGTCTAATGCTTATTGAATTAGATGAAGTCTCAGCCCAAAACAAGAATATTTCTCAACTAATTTCATATTTGTCTCTCACTGTTTAAAAAGCCACATACATTGTATTGATTTGATTGTACATGTAGGTCGTGTTTATAAATGACCCTGTACAACAAAAGCTTGAAATCAAACTGTACTTTGTCACAATTGCACTTCTGCCTGTACGGAGATAATGATAGGTTTGTTGGACTTCCATTTGATGATGAGCTATCAATTTAGCTTAAAGAGAAGGTTGAGTTCTGTGAAGAGGTGAAAAATATTTTGTGAGCATTACTCATTCTTATTATGCAAGTGTGGAAGAACATCAGTTAAGACATGTTCCCTGAAAAGCATGGCTCTTCAAATGCCTTCATATTCTAAATATGCATGTAACATCGTAAAAATCGGGGGGCCGGCTTTTTACGCCACGTGTTCGTGTAGTCCCATATACATCTTTCTGTTCAAGTGTTTGTAACTTTACCAAAACTTGGTCAAATTTGTTATCATTTTGATGATTCCAGAACCTTGCAATACACACAAATTCTTATATACTAGATGATCAACCTTTTCTGGTGGGTTCCACACCGTTTCTTTCACAATGCAATCGCATGACCAGAACTTTACTTCATCTTTAAAGTGACTCGGTATCATTGCTTCTGATTCTGAAACAAAATCCTGCATTTAGCTCATGCTGCAATCATAATTACAAACCTTTAGGTCGGTGAAAATCCCATGACTTGTACAAGCCGATCGCCTGTCTGATTATCAAGATATTTATGAATGGAAATCAAAATTTCATTTATAACACTACAGTCTATTGGGGAAATGAGTATGGTAAAAACGGTCACTCAAAGATTTTTTTACTTTTTTGAAGCAGTTCATGATCATTTTGAAGCTCAATTTTTTTTTTGGCTTCAATATTACATTATATTTCAGACACTGATAAGAGGTAGGGTCATGCATCTCAGATTTAACATTATTAAACGATGCCTTTAAAGGCCCTAACAGAGATTTGCAAGCCCTCATAAACTTATCTCAAATGTTATCTGTAGCAGCAAGATGAGCTTATTAAAGTATTTCTCGCTATGAGTCAAAAATTAAACCCTCATCAAATATTGGACTAAATACTGGCCCAAGTTTGTAAGGCAATTGCAAGAAGATGGTAATTGAACCTTGAGCTGTGATTTTTGTTTCTATTCTGTTTGGTCCTACCAGGTGTAAAGATCTTGTTCCGGGTAGCCCTGGTCCTACTGAAGCATACGTTAGGTAGCTCACAGCAGCTAGCAGACAGTCCTGGACTCTACGAGACCCTGGAGAAGCTCAAGCACATTCCAGACTCAGTCGTGCAGGAGGACTTTCTAGCTGCAGAGGTAAGAACTTTCAAGCTCAAGAATAAAGTGCTCCAAATACAATTGGTTGTTTGAAGTTGTTCCTAGTATTTATTTCTAAACTTTTTCTCTGTCCTATTTGTCTCTATTGGGTGGTATTCTAAAAAATGGACTAACTTTAGTCCCTGGTTTAATTTACTGACTAAGTATGGAATGCCAAGTGTCCTATGTATATACTTCTGAATAATTTTTTATGTCCCTAAATTACCATGATAACATAATTATATCATAATTATATTGTTGTTTATTAATCATGTTATTACATTTTATTTTAATTTAGTGACATTTTAAATTATTCAAAAACATATTCATATGGACACTAAGCTATGTACATGTAAGGGTCATAATAAGGGTGAGGGTTAGGTGTTCAGGTTAAGAACTTATAGTTCAGATGTATAACACATGAAATTGCATTTATCCTGTTTGATCCGTTGCAGATGATGAAGTTGCGTGTCTTTGAGAAGGACCTGGAGGTGGAGCACTCGCTGTCCCTGGCCAGACGGAAGGCCATACGGGAGAGGCAGCTGTCCTCCGACAAGGCCGCCGCCAACGCCCGCGACATAGAGGTCAAGAAGAAGTCCTCCAAGACGAAGAACCCCGCCAAGGAGTGGGAGAAGGAGAAGAAGAAGAAAGAGAAGGAGCGGCTGAAGCAGGCGGACACTGATTCTATGATTAGTGTGCCTCATTCGCTGGGAGAGGATGAGGCCGAAGGGGTTAGGAATGGCGTGGAAGGCGAGGGGACGTTACACAAGGACGACAAGAAGAAGAAAAAGAAGGACAAGAAACAGAAGAGTAAAGAGAAGTTGTCGATCAATACGAAGGAAGCGATGCACAGAAACTGGAGCGATGACTTGCATAGTCCGGACATTGAAAGGGACTATGAGATTGTGGATAGGTTAAGTTCTTACTCGGCAAGCCCTACCAAGAGTGTGAAGAGCAGGAGTACTACAGGCTACTCCGAAAAGGACTATACCAGCGAGGACGGGCTGGAGGCGCAGGGCAGCAAGAAGAAGAAGAAAGATAAGAAAAAGAAGAGCAAAGGGAAGGAAACCGATGTGATATCCATAGGGGATGATGCCGCTAGTATGGTTATTTCAACAGAAGGACTTACGGACACAATCGATAGGAAAAAGAAGAAGGATAAGAAAAAGAAAAGGGGCAAGAGTAAAGAGAAGGCTTCGTCGGGTGAGGAGAAGGGTGACGATGTAATCAGTATCATGACAGTGCCGGACAATATGATTTTTGCAGTTGGGAAGGACAAAAAGAAAGAAAAAAAGAAGGAGAAGAAGAGGACAAAAAGTAAAGATGTGGAGGTCGGAATGGATCTTCCCGGGATGGTAGGAGGACGAGATGATGGAAGTGTGGACAAGCTCTCACAAGCAGATACAGAATCGATTAGGTCCTTCTCCAAGAAAGACAAGAAAAAGGAGAAGAAGGAGAAGCAAAAGAAGGGGAATGACTTGGAAAGAGAGGTGCAGGCAATTAAGGGGAACGGTGTGATACGTAATGAGCATGCGAGCGACGGCAGTACCTCCTCTCCCGCTAACCTGAGTGACTATGAAGTTGTGGAGAGGTGGAAGCCGCCGTCCGACAGCTCAAAGCGTGGGTCAGACAAAAGGAAGGGTTTGATATACAGCGAGGAAGACATCCAGAGCCAGTGGGCCGGACTGGCCAACCTGGGCCCCCTGCCCGAGATACCCAGCTTCAGTGAAATCAAAGAGCGGAGGAGGAGTCGAGAGCAGGACGAGGAGAGGAGGGTACAACAGAGGCTGTCCCCTCAGTCTGAACCCAGTTCGCAGATCGGCGACAACACGACGCGGGAAGCAGGGAGTGGGACCGGGATGCCCCATTCATACTCTAATGGGATGGAGCCCGAGAGTGGGCTGTCTCGGGTGAACAATGGAAACAGGGATACGGACAGTGGTGAAAAGGTGAAGAAAGGTCCCACGAGAGACTATCACAGTTTTGACTATGGCACCACAGTATGATACTGATACAAGAGAAAAAGCACTGGATAGTTGATTGATGATGAATGTGTGCTATTTGAAAATTGGGACGCGTCTTGCCCTGGATATGCATGCATCATTGGACAAAGTTTTGGCAAGTCTTCTGTGTTTGTACAGGATGTAGGTAATGGCCTCACATGTGCAAAGAGTGATGAGTTTAACATGTACATTTTATGTGTACTGGATGTATATGTACATGCAGTTTAAGTAGGTCTGAATACCACAAAGTTCTCATTTTTTAGGCCTCTACGAGAGCTCTAGAGATAGATTACGTGGTTAGAAAATTACGAGTTAAACTAATGGGTTAGAAACAACTTCATCAAGTTTTATTCTAATTTGTTGATCTGGGCCAGTCATTACAAAGAGTTGTTCTGAATTGTTCGCTTTTCACTCGAGTTTGAAATTGGCGGTAAATCTAAGTCACTCTGTTGCAATATGAAGAGAAATTCACACTTTCTGTCATATTTTCCCTCAATAGCCCAGGGGTTGCATTTGCATTTTTCTCCATAAATGAGGGGGAAACAGGAAAAAATGAGAATTCCTTGAACAAATTTGCATCATTAATTAGACAAAAATTCAGAACACAGTAGATATCATAAATTTGACTATGCATTATTGTAAAATACATGATGGGACAAAGACACACCAATTTTGGTCAAAATCGGTCAATAAATAGCAAAGATCTGAGGGGGAGGGGGGGGGGGGGGTGCAGGAAAGGGGGAGGGCAAAAAAATTGTACAGAAGCTATACAGATGTTGAATTTAATGTTCCCTAAAGCAATATGAACATTTAAGTGATTCCCATTCTTGTTTTGTTTGTCATCTTTCTGCATACAGTTTAATTCAAATTTCTCATTACTACATAATTTGATGAAATGATATAAAATGCAAGTTGCCCACAAGATATTTTATTTGTGTCAACTTCCCTTCCTATTGCAACTGTTTTTATAGGGGAAGGGAATCGTACTAACGGTATTAAAAACTGGCTTACTAGATTTTTTATTTCGAACTTAATCCCAAGAATTGGTCTATATCAGTATATGTTTCTTCTAGAGCCATACATTGGCAGTATATCATTTATCAGAAATACAATGCTCACAAATTTATGTTGTGAAATATTATTTGTAAGGCTTCTTCTTCATATTTATATTATTTAAAGAAAAATTATATTCGTTTTATTCTATCATAATCGTACTGTTTCTTGGTCCGTGCATGGTGCATATGTAGTGTAGAGTTACAAGTAAATGGTGCTATGTTTGAATGAGTATGTTGATATTTTCCTGTTGAGATGACACTCTCACAGACACCATGCCTATCTGTTTTTTGCAAACTTTTGATGATTATCTGGCTTTTAAAAAAAAGACAATGTTCTGTATTCACAAACACCACGCTCACCCTTTTTGTCAAAATGTTTATAATTGACTAACCTTAGTCCAGGATTCAGGGAGTAAATGTAATTTTGTTGCATTGATGTATGAAATGCCAAGTGTGAATCTCTGCATCCTATTGAAAACCAAATTTAAATCTGTCTGTTGAGGAAACCAAGAAGTTGGCCACAGTAGACGGGTGACCTTGCGAGAGAGAGGTTCTACAACACACATTCCTTTCTCGAGGGAGAGACAATACATGATCACTTACGGAGAGGTGGCCACTAAGCCAGCTTGACTGTTCATGGTAGAAGTCTAAATTAAAATACATGAACAAACAGAAGTCACTGACATTTAAAATCCATTTCCTATTTCATTTCATGACTAGATTCATTACGTGACTGTAGTCATTGGATTTTTTATTTAGAATAATAGTAATTCTATGAAAATAAAAAGATTTCGACACGTGGCACTTCATAAACCAATGGACTAAGTTCAACCAGGTTTTAACTTTGACCTTTTGTATGCCTGGTCAGCTGTTATGAACGTGGGCCCATTTTACCGAGGTGTTTGAATTCTACCCTCACTTCACGTAACTGATGCTTGCCAAACATAGCAACAACTAATTCATGCACGCAATCAGATTCTCTCCTTAGTGATGCTCTCATACGTGAATTTAATAGTTTCTCATCCATAGTTCAGGAAGAAACATTCATTAATTGGGAATAAAATAGTAAAGTTGTGCATGGTGGATAGAATACCTTCGACTGTGGTACGTGTAATTGCTCATTTTGCCTCCGACGTATCTGGCTATGAACGCGTGCAGATTCTATTTATGTAGGTTTTAATTGAACAACAACAGCACCAACACCTTCATCATCTCAGAGATTTATATTTGGAATTGTGCAATCATATTGAGATGTGTGATGGGGATTAAAGAACTCATTGTTCAAGGTTACTGATTCCCTAGCCACTCTGTTGAAACGAAGACAAGACTAACAATAGACAGCAAAGAATTTTGTAGATAAGTGGTCTGTGTGGAGTAAGCAAGGTTTCTTTTTCTTGCCAATTATTTTGATTAAACGTAAATTCTAGGGTTGTGGGGTTCTCATGGGGGATCGCCATCACTTGGTTATTCAAGGAGATGCGTTTAATGTCTAACATGCTGCAAAAAGACAAAGGAAAAAAGCAATTTCACAAAGAAAGCCAACCAGGTTGTCAAAAAGATGTTTGCTTCACGAAAGCCATTCATTTAGATAAACTTCCCTCACGGGTGAATCTTTTGAAGTCTAATGGGGGTGTTACAAGAAAGTTGCGATTGATTGCAAGTTGCACAATTTGCAACTGATATTTGCAATGGATTGCAACTCAACTTTCTTGCAACACCCCACTATCTCCTAAATTTCCTAGGATTTTGTTAGGATTCTTTAACAATTAAATTTAAAGTTAACTAGATCTAGCTTTTATTCTCTACCCCCCCCCCTCTCTCTCCTACTAATGGGGCGTTGTAAGAAAGGTGAGTTGCGATCAATTGCAAATTTGCAATTAATCGTAAGACTTACGCTTGATTTTGGGGATTTGCAATTGATTGCAACTTCTTTAAGACACCCCATTAGGGTAGTAGCTGCATTACTGCATAATAAGACCTGCGGGTCTTAAAAGTAAGATATCAATTACTCTCAGCAATGTGTATAACATCTGGGGGGTACTTCACAAAATCCTAGGTTGAACTTATCTCTAAGTTGGACTTAACACTTATGGAAAGCGGTTGGCATCTATGAACATATTTGGTAAAAGTTATTTCAAAAGGCATAAAATGTTGATTCAAATCATTTATATTTTCTGTTAACAAGGAGATTTCATGTTCTGTATGTGGAATTTATAAAAAGTTTAAAGTACTTGAATTTTTGCTTTTGAATTCATTTTAAGGCTACAAATGGCTCTCCATGATTTTAAAGGCCAACTTAGAGTTGAGTTAAACTTAGGATCTTTGTGAAACACCCCCTAGTATCCTGTGAATAAGCGAGTTCACGGTTGCAGTCTGAGCATGAGCAGATCAAGGTCATTGCAGAACAAATTGTGAAATACACGGAGACGAAATACTGGATACGTGCTCATGAAAGTTATGTAATCGTTATTCATTCTTGCACATTCAGTGCAATCCATGATACACAGGTGGATGTATTCTTTCAAAGGGGAAAACAAAGGCTATGTTATATAGCACCTTCATCGCTGTAGGAATGATTATTTCACAATGTACAAAGTGGGACCTCTTCATGTTTTGAAGATCTGTGGATATTCGGGGTCATTGCAGTAATGTGCTAACCGTGAACTGGTCTATACCCGAGTGGTGTCAAATTCCCTGTCAAAACCTTTGATCATACAGGTGTATGTCTTTAATATTTTGTCACTATTGATTCAATTCTAATTGCATGTGTCTGTAAAATAATGGAACGTACATTGTATTGTCTGTTTGGAGCCAGAAGGGCGTTATTCTGTGTTAGTGTGAACCTTCGTTCCAAGCAGTCAATATAAAGCTGGTCATCTCATTCATTACCTTTACCTACTTACTCCTTTGGGTACTTAATCCACCAGTACAAAACTAAAACTGTGTATTCCTTTTGTTTTTGATAATGTGATGCATTGCAACTTACATCTCCAAGAACAGAAAGATCAAACGTCACTGCACAACACGATATCTTACATATCTCTATATCTTATTGCAATTTTGATGTTCTCGATTTTCATTAAAGAAAACTAATGTTTACATACATTTATATTGGCAATTACTTGTAATGCACTTTGTAATACAATGTTTTGTATTTTTGCTGCATTCTGGTATTGTCTGTGTGTGTACTTGGGTTCTTACAGATGCATATCAATCAGATATTATTCGAATCTGGGAAAGATGTGACTCAGTTTCAAACCTTGGACACCAGACCAACTCATATCCCCCTATTTTATTCATACATCTTTGTTACAGATGTGTTACTGATGTGTTACTTTTTGTCAGGATTTGTGAAAGAGAATTAACAATAGCCAAGGTTAAAAAGCTAAAGCTAATTGTTAATCTTGTCCTTAAAACAGCGAAACTGAAAATGGTAATCAGCTTTACAGATAAATATGATGTTTGTTAATGGCAGTTTTAAACTGATATCCGACTTTTATTCACTCAGGCCTGATAATTCCCTGATTTAAATTGGTTTCCTGATTTTTTCATTTTTTTCCTGATTTTTGTTTTCTTCCTGTTTTTTTTTTTTTTTTTTCTTCCTGATTTTATCCCTTTTTTTCTAGATTTGTCATTATTTTCTTACTCAAAGGGGGGAATGTTGTAATAGATGCCATTTTTTTCCCCCGCGAATTGTCTTCTTCTTTTTTTTTACTCAAGGGGGGCGTGGTTGAGGGAAAAAGAATCTTTTTTTAGTGCTCACTATCGCCCCTGTTCACTTCATGGGAGTGGCTGTGTCATTATTGCCGGAGGCTGTCAGAAACTTTGAAGATTTCTCTATTTGTTATTTTACCCCATGTGTGAGTGTTTTTTTGACTGTAAGGAAAATCATTTGTTAATAGAGGTTATATAATATCATTTGTTCTGTTTAAGTATGAAGATTAATTGTACATTTAATGTACCACGTGATATATACAATAATGTGAGAATAGCAGAGGAATATAGAACAACGTACAGTTTCATTTACAATCTAATAACAACACTGTATGAAAGGAAACATTCCTAAATGAAATTATCAGTTTTAATATAACAAAATGAATGCCATCTCCAGGTGTGTGTTTTATGTTGGGTGTTTTATATCGTTATCAATGTACAGAAAAACAGAAGCATTGTGTATTTCATTTGCAATATAATCTGCACATTTATTTAATATATTGTTTGTATGATTGTGTGTATAGCCAAAGTGAATTGCTAAGAAGTATACCATTTATTTACATATTTGTGTTATATACTAGATATTCATTCACTTCTTGGTACACATACAGGTATGTCTGCATATGTATGCGGAGAGGCTGTGTTTATAATAAAGGCCCATTATGTTATGTTTTATTCATCTTTTTTTTAGAGGGAAATTAATTTTCTTTTGACGGAGCATCCTACAAGCTTCCAAAGATAGTGAGGTAAATCAATTATTTCTTCGTCAGTTTATCCTTGAACTGAGGAGCAATTTCAGTGGTATTAATCCTTTTTTTTCCTTCAAATTCTTGATTGGGGGGGGGGGGGGGCTATAATTTCTATGGAATGGGATAATGAAAGTCCTCAACTGATTGAATTGGTATTTATAGGGTCAGATGATATTCTTGATATTAAAAATATTTATAATGATTATATATAATGTATGAGGTATGTAGGTTCAATATTTTTTTTTTCTTTTTTCCAATCAATAGCCACCCAGAGCAGATTATTTTATTCATTAAAAAAAAAAAAAAAAAAATCCCTTTATGATTTGTAACCCCCCCCCCCCCCCCCCCCCCCCCACACTGACCCTATGTGTAAAACAAGAAATATTGCCTCCTTTCTACTTAACTTTCGTTTGGTATTCTCAACCATATTTTCAAAATAGAAATATTCTCTGATTATAACCGTCGTCTTGTAAACCTATGAGGCTAGATGAAGTTCATCTTTTTGTGTTATCGTTTGCATGTTGTATCCCCAATCTTCACAACAATCCGTGAACCAACAGCAGGCAGCAATCCTTGAACCATGCTATTAGAAATTAAATTAAATTTATGTTTTGCACTGATACTTGTATTTTATAAAGAATTATAAAACTTCATACCCCATTCACTCTGTCAAACTCCCTCCAAACAGGTCAATTATCAACAAAATCTGGGCCATCTATGTGAATTACTGTGTGTGGTTGGTCCATTAGCGGTAGAGTTCTCTTTGATAAAGTGGCTAATTTGTGTCAGTTCAAGAGTTTGTTATGCTCTGATCTTTAGAAGATCGTACAGTGATTTTATTTTGTTCAGGGGGGGGGGGGAGGGGTTGCAGATTGTAAATGGGTCTAGGATTTGTAAGGTTATTGTTTGCACTACAACTGCCCTTACATCAACCCCTCCCCCACCCCCCCTCAAATAAAAAAAAAATGGATTCCAATAATCTTTTGTCATGTTAGTTTGACTGGGATATTAACCTTTTCGCGACAGTTCCTCCCCAATTTTAGAATCGGCTAAATAACATTTGATTCAGAGCCCCCCAAAAAAATATACCAGATACACTGTATACACAAACTGCATCCATTTTTGTTTCTTGACTATAATTGCATTTGATGCTCAGAATTTTGAAAAGGAAAATAAGTTTTTAAATTCCTTGAATTGGCAACATGTGGGAGATTAAAAATCTTTGATTTTCAATAAAAACTTTTCAAGAACATTCTCGTCTGTGACTCGTGTTCAGAGACAGGGCAGTTTATTTTTATCATTGTAGTGATGAAAGACATATTATTGTTGCCAATTTGAATAACAATATGTGATCAATTTATCCCCCCAAAATAAATCCTGTCCTGAAAGGATTAAACTGGTCGAAACCCAATAGCTACTATTAATTTGTAGGTTGCCATGAAAAAAAGTAAAATTATAATGATGTTGTTATACATGTGCATTACATTTTATTATTTGAATGACTTCATTTTGTAAGATATGTATAAAGAAATGAATGCAGCAATACATCTCGCAGTGATTTGTCGGACATTTATAAAATGCGGTTTTTAATTACAATTTGCATAAATTTGATTTCACGTTCATATGAAATGAAAAAAATTGTACATTAAAGATATAAGGATATTATGAGAAATAAATCAGTTTATAAAGTAAATTATTTACTTGGTTATGTTGTTATTCACTGTGGCCTCATTTGTCTTTCTTAATGTGTGTACTCACATTTTCTTTTCAATCTTCCTCTTTCACCATTATTATCTATTCCTCCCCAACCCATTTTTTTTCTCCCGCTCTCTCTCTCTCTCTCTCTCTTGCTCCCATCTCCCAAATTTCCATTACTTTTAAAATTTTCCCTTTACTTTGTGTATTACCCAAGTTCCCTGAATCGATTGCACCTTAACCAAGAACTACTCTAAAAGAAAGCAGAAACATCAGAGAAGTAGACTTGTAAAAGTATGAATAAAATCGGATAAGAAATAAGAAAGTTTTGAATTTTTAAAAGTTGCATACCTACTTATTGGCACTTCAAATTGGCTAGTTTGGTAATGTCATTGTGACAAAGTGCCCCCCCCCCCCAAGTGAGAAGGCACTTGGGAGAAAAAGGAGATATTAATATGTTTATACACAACAAACAGGAGAGTGACTACGTCAGTGTCACAGACCATCAAATGAAATTGCCAATTTGAGATTTGCATGAATTTAGTGATCTCACATTTCAAACATTCATAACTCCCTTCTTATTGGCCTGATTTATTTCAAACTTTCGTCACTCCATTTCTCTTATTTTTCTGTTTCCATACAAATGAAGTTATTACAAGGGTTGGATTGCCCTTTGAGAACAGCTTGTACAATAACACATGCTGACCAAGACATCTTCTGCTTATAAAAATATTCTTTAATTGAAACAAACATTTCAGGCACATAATTAATACAAACAAAATAATTTTTTTCAAATCTTCATCTATAAACCCATATCTGAAAATATTTTGAAATTAAATAAATCATATTCTTCTCTGGCACGTGTGTTATTGAACAACAAAAAATAAATTCATAGACATACACTCTTAGTTTACCATTTGGAGTGTGTTAGGATGATCAAACGACTCATGACTTCATAATCAAGTTCAACTATATTCAATCATATATACAGTGTACATGAACTTTCATGATGGTATTAAAGAAATATACATACATACCCAGCTTCAATGAAAACACAAATAGGGTTTGAAAATTGAACAATTATATTTATGAGAAATTTAGCCAGTAGTCGGGTAGTTTGCTAGTAGGGTATGATTTTCCTTTCATATCTTCCAAAGAACATCGGTGCTATGGCAGGGATATTAATAGTTTGTTCTTATATAGCGCTTTTCAGGTGCGGAGGCCCTCTCAAAGCGCTTTACAGATGTATATTATTACCCAGGTCATCGGATTTAGGAGGCGACCCAGGTTCGAAACCAATTCAATGCGCTAGTGCCCTTTGGTGAGGCATTAATTTTTTAATACCAGGTCCCTCGGAATGGACTTAAAGCTGTTGGCCGTCTGGTTGCTAATCCTAACAAGCATTTATGCTTTATTAGCAGTCAGGTAAAATAACCACTACCACTATCACTACTACCAGGCTTACGCACACAATGTATGCACATTCTCCTCTCCCTGGGGAGTATTCCAGCCAAACGTCATTTTTACAAGCGCACACTTGCTAATCTAACGACATTGGCTTTTGCATCCTATCGGGTAACCATTTAACACCTGGGTGGAGAGTGGCAAATGTAGATCAATGTCTTACCAAAGGCAATAGTGCCACGGCGGGACTTGAACCGCGGACCTTGGGATCTACAGTCCGATGAGATATCCACTTCACCACGACACGTCTACATTGAAGTAATTTTTGGTAGCAATGAAACCAGCCCTGTTCATAGCACTTGAAAACTGGGACCTGTTTCACAAAACTTGTCATCAGTGACAAATGACAGCAGACTTGTCACTGATTTTTGCCATTTGTCATTGAAAAAAGGCTTTGTGAAACAGGTCCCAGGTCAACCTCTCTTGATACAAAAAGTCATATTATAAACATGAATATTCAAAATTTCCATTTTTTTTAAGGTTACAAAGAACACGGATGTACAGTGCAATTCATTACAAGCACACACAAACGTACTGAGAGGATATTAAGGAAACTTTCAGTTATATTCACAATTCTATGACCCAACACATAGTATACAAATGATTCTGATTAGGAACAGCGTAGCGTTTCCTTTAAACCACAAACACGATGACCAAGTCAAACATATATCTGAAGTTTGAACACACCACAAACGTAATCACAGTGTAGTTTTCCCACTACTCGTGTCAGATGGCTTGCATCAGTCTTGTTTCAGCATAATGTACATAATATGGCAAGTGGAATGATAGTTTTATATATATATTAGCCAACAAAAAATAAATAAAATAAGTCAAGAGGCAAGTCAAGATGGTATGGTCTTCGACTATAGCGTTGAGAAGGATGACGCAACAGGTGCCATTTATGACAAATGAATTTGAAGCGATACCACCTACATGTATACTACCTTCCGATTTTTATGTCAAACTCATTTACACCTTGAACGTTTCTTCTTCAATTTAATAAGTTTTATTATTTTTTTTTACGGATCTATGCAAAGTTAGAACCTACTTCAGATTCCCTCCAGCAATCATGACCCATTCTAAATGAACTTGATCATCATGAAAATACAGTGTAATTCCCACTGACAATTGCAGTTTCATGCTGGAATACATTGTATGTATTACCATATCTGACTGATTCAAGGGGAAATAATCGTTAATTTGCACAACAAACACATTCATTAGAATCTAAACAATTCTGGCATTACTGTGTAAGTTGTTTAACCCAAGGTAAAAGCCTATCTCTAGTATTTTTTAAATATTTATTTTACAATCTTACCAAATTTTGAGGCATAATTTTGGCATGTGATAATGAACTAGAAAAGTCTTGTTCTCTATCCGATCCCTACTTAACCAGCATGCAGTGCATATTAACTAAAGCACTTGCAAACATGAATTATTTCTATTTTAGAATGTGGTTCATTTTTCATATAATCAAAGCAATTTTCATGACGCCACAACATTGCAAATCAACACCATCAACATAATCAACACATATCTGATACTCATTACCACCTCAAAAAAACATGCTGCAATGCGTTTCTCCACATGTAGTACTGTTTCTAACAGGTACATCGCTAATAGATATAAATACCAATGTCAAGGTCAGTCCATCGATTATTCACAATATATTTACAAGATATTACTCTGTTGAATGCCAAAAGGGTGTCAAAGGTATAGGCCAGTTCTGGTGATGCGATTGAATTGTGAAAGAAACGTTGTGGAATCGATCAGAAAAGGTTGATCATCTAGCATATTGCAAGGTTCTGGAATCATCAAAATGATAAGAAATTTGGGCCAGTCTTGGTAAAGTTACAAGCACTGTACACAGAAAGATGTATATGGGACTACGCTATATCCATCCAGGCCGGATAGATATGATAATTTACCAACTTGACAATCATAGGCGGTTTCCCGGCAAAATTTGTATCATCACGTATTAGTCGAAACATATTCTTTCACATGATTTGTAATAGGAACTTCCATTTCATTTTTGAGAGGGGGCGTTTTCAAAACTGGTCTATACCTTTAAGGCTGTATTAAATGATCCCATTCAATGCCCTTCTGGCTCTCAGCAGATGTAATACTAGCTGCAGACAGTTGTCTTGTCCATCCCTCTCGCCAGGATGCTATGCTATATTACAATATGCAGGAATCCGCATGTCTGTAGAAAGGAAAAAGAAAGAGGGAAATAAGTTGATTAGTTCGTCGTTAGTTTTTTGTGTGGAACGAACTACTTAGCCAGAGCTGCCAACCTTGTGCGACCAAAAAAGGAATTTCGAGCAAAAAAAAGAAGGAATTCCTTAAAACGAAATTTACAACCACGCGAGACACACTTCCAATGCAGAAATGTCCATTCCTCATGCTGTTTTTTCCATATTAGGACCTATAGTTTAGTTACAAGTAGGTTTTTTTTGTTGATATTTTGGTATTATCAGTGTTTCATTCTTTTTGAGAATATTTTTCTCTCCAAGTATGTTTTAACCTTTGTTTTCTATTCAATTTGTGATCAAATCATCATTTTAGGGCATTTGTTAGATGTGCGATAGTTGACGCATGTCTGTAGAAAAGAAAAAGAAAGAGGATAACAAGTAGATTAGTCAGTCGTTAGTGTTTTGTGTGGAACGTTTAAATCCCAAAAGCCACCTTTTTCACTCCCTGATCTATCTTGTGTCGACCCTCAAGGATCATTCTTTGCACCTTACATGGTTTTCTAGGTTCACTCACTTTACTAGCCATTGTGTCGACCCCCAAGGATCATACATTGCGCCTTACATGTTTTTTGAGGGACCCTTAAAATGCACTCACCTCACATGACATGACAAGGTTCTGTAGTCTCTCCAGTTCCAACAGAGCAAAGACAGGCGTTACTGGACAGAGGGTGCTGTGTTGACTGACCCCTAGCTCAAGAGTCTGACCAATGTTCTCGAGATTCAGACCATCTTGCTATTAGCAAAAAAAAAGACAACATGGACAACTTAAGCTCAGTTCTAATTACATTTAGGTTCAATACAAACCACAACTCAATCTTTTATGTTCTACATGTCATTCACTTTACAGTATCATAAAGTCGATAGAGCCTATACCAGATTTTTAAAATCCTTTTCTTTTAATTCCTTAAGTTCCACCCATGGAACTAGAGCACTGGCTTTAATTCATTCCAAGAGTTTGTTGCTTGGACTAAAAATATATATAAACAGAAACCTCAATGGAGGTTATATTCCCTCAATGCACATTGTGAGCCCGCTTGCTGCGCACAACACAAGGGTGGGAAGAGCTGGATTTTAATACAGATATTTCTTTCTGCCCAACACTCAGCTGTACATTTCTAACAAAGTCATCTGGCAGGTGCTTCCTCAATTATTCAATGAAACTCATTTTTCATTAAAGATAAAGGCGAGTTCCGGTCATCCGATTGCATTGTGAAAGAAAAGGTGTGGAATGGATCCAAAAAATTGATCATGTAGCATGTAAGTATTGGTGTGTACTGCAAAGTTCTGGAGTCATCAAAATTATAATACATTTGGCCCAGTCTTGGTAAAGTAACAAGCACTGTACACAGAAAGATGTATATGGGACTACACAAATGATGTCGGGGGCTACTAACCTTGATTTCCTAATCTTTCTATGCTCATTACTCAGCCAGTATACATTTTCTACCAAAATTGTTTGGCAAATGACATTTATTTGTAATCTTGAACATTCAGTGTAAGTTTTGTTTGATTCTGTGAGAATTCATTTTTTTTTTTTTTTACCAGAACTCACCTTTATCTTTAATGTGCAATTATGTTTGGTGAAAACTCAGAAGAAGGTCCAAGTTAATAAGCCAGTTGAAGATTGAGCCAAGAATAATGAAAGTTAATTTTTAATTTTGGACCCCCCAAGAAATCATGATTTGATGATGATGATGAAAGTAATAATTTGATGATAACTTACAGCTGTGTCAATTCTCAACCCACAGGAACAGAAGACGATACCCTTATTCATGAGCAACCAGTTTCTAAATAGAGAGGAAAAAAAAATAGAGATTGATGGGAAGGGGGAGTGGGCAGATAAGAGAGGAGAGATATATGCATACAAGGGGTGAGGTCAGAATTGGTTGCATGATGCTTGCTCCCTGGGTCAATTGTAACATGATAATTTCCTACACCTAAATTCAACCCTAGACCCGATACTATACTTAACCCAGGTGACCTAACCTCAAAACTAACCTAGAACCAAATAGCAATACACCAAAGTCTCTATTAACAAACAAAATACATGAAATATATACATCAATGTGAACAGAGTATTTAAGTTAATCATCAAAAGCAATTTTGAATAAATGTGTCTTGAGACAAGTTTTGAATTGGTTGACAGTCTGACAGTTTTTATGCCAGGAGCAGATGTCGAAGCATCATCAAAAATATTTTGAAGGAAAAGACAACTACTGATATGAGAACACACAACTATGATATTAACTGTTAGTTGCATTTGCCTGTCCACTAATTGAAATGGTTTTGAACCAGGATCTTCCCTATGCCAAGACCACTATTGACTGATATTATTTCCTACCATTTGAAGGACTCTAAACCAACCTTTGACAGAGAGGGCATGCGATGGAGCCTACAGGGAAATGGTTGACAGTGGTTTGTAACTGTTATTCCTACATTCCTTACGATGGTAGTCTCTATTGATATTTTTGAATGATTCTACATTTATAAGCCTTTGAGAGAAAGGGCTCACAAGGGAACCTCTAATGAAGTGGTGATGGTAGATTGTAAAAGTTCTGCTCTTCCTAATACCTCAGAATGGCATCATACTTATGCTCAACTATACTAGTTTGTAATGTTTGAATGGCTCCACAGAGTCCACTCAAAACTCTGACAGATAGGGCACACAACAGAGCCAGCAGTGAAATAGATAACTGTAGCTTGTGACTGCTCTACCTATAACCTCAAACTACTGTAGCTTTATATTCCTTGCTTATCTCTACTAGTTCTTAATTATTTGAATAATTCTACACAAACCTTTGGCAGAGAGGGCATACGACTGAGCCTTCAGTGAAATGGTTGACAGTATCTTGTAACTGTTCTTCCTCCAACCTCAGGCTAGTTTCGTACTCGGATATGATGCTCATTTCTAGAAGGATAAATTCAAATAAAGTTCAAATATTTTATTTGGCTTAGATATGCCTGACTTGACAAAATTCTGCGATCTTATTTTCCCTGAGTATAAGGCACACAATCAATCCATAGTCGTTGAAGTCTAGTGTGACAATAAACGGCTTGTAACATTTATATGCTGCGGTAAAATGCAGCAGTTTAACAGCAAGCATCATTAAGCATACTGTTTTGTATCTTACAAAAAAAAAGTGAATATACCTGGACTTTTGTTGCGAGCTAGTCCTCTCCTCTCCCTCCAGTCTTTGTATACAAACGTGTAGAGTACATTTATGCAGTCTCGTGTATCTAGTTTTAGCTATGGTAGCATTCAATGTATTTCAAAGCGATTAGAAATGCAAGTTAGAATAAAATACAAATGTTTACAATGAGTCAGCATGTCAACAACAAAAAATTGAATAATGCTTGGCAAGAGATCATTCCTACCTTCTTTCATGAGTTCTTCTTGGAGCTCCTCCCTCAGGTCCAATTCATCTTCTATGAGCTGAAGAATGAAAATATAGATAAATATATTGGCACATGTAACAAGAGGCTGTGAGTAACCGTCATTATGTAGGTACACGACTTGGATGCACACAGATCTCCTTGCATGAAGACAAGAGGGAGGGTAGTTAAATGTTGCAATTATCTCAAACATCCAAGATAAATTTTACGGTATGCTTCAACCATCCAGCATAGTGCAGGGCAGGTGAAAAATAAAAGAGAGTCTGTTGTACATTATTAGTATTAAAGGTGAAATTCAAAGAAGATCACAAATGTGTCAACTTATGTATCACTAGAAACTGGTAAGCTAACAGATGGCCATCGGACAAGTTTTAGGTCAATTACATATCGGGTGATTTATGGAAATACAAATACAACCACCTCCATAGCAGGTGGGATATACGAGAGATTCGCCGGAAAATAACGATGTTTTAATGACGTCATTATATGGACCAACACTGCCCAAGCAGACGACATACCATAGAGAATGAATATAATTGCAAGCTATTATTTCTCAAATTATAATGAGTTTAGTGCATATAAATGTAATGGCATGTCAAACCATTCAAAAGGGGATATGATCCGATTCTGATAACTAAAATCTTTTGCTTGTAAATACACAGGATAGGGGTTAATTAGCAATCAAAGAAACCAGACTTTCGAATTGAAAAGCCCCGGAATGATAATAAGGACGGCATTTGTTCCTTCTTGAAACGCCGAACATACCCCCGGTGTGTGCAGCTGAATATACAATGGCGTCTTATTTTGTTAACAAGCGACAGATTCCTTTATTTTTGTATCGCTGCATTTGTCATCAAAATAAAACCATGCGCGGGGTTTAGAGTGAGGCCATAGATTATACATTTAGCCTGACGGTAGTGAAGTACAGAGAAAAAACTCAAGAGAAGATGAAAACACAGGCACTGAAAATGTGTGAAATGTCATGGGACATCGTCTGCTTGTGCAAGTCATGTCCATACTGTGATCTCACACATCTCAGCAGCGTTCGGAGAGCACTGCAGGTGCTATGCCGGGGCTGTATTTAAGCGTTTTGTAATTTATAATAATCATTACTTCGAATGTTTCCAAGCATTGAATTTTGATAACCTTGTCGATTCAAAGTTTCAACTCTGCAATAATGAAAAAAAAGTTAGTTTTTAAAATCAATGAATATCTACTTTAAAGTCTGCAGTATTGAGCTAAATAACATAGCACAGTTTGCGTATTATAACGCAAGTTATACATTGTATTTTGTTCCACAAGTCACCTAGTACAGTACTTGGAAGAAATATTAATCTATTATAGCAGATTTGGTATGAATTGATAAGATTCTAAATTGGAATAAAAATGAAAGTTGACTATCTTGTATTGATGGCTAAGCTTCAAGAATACAAGTCTGCTGGATATCTTTACAATTTATCAGAACTTTAGACTGCTGATGGTTGCCAAAATACATAATGTAAGTTCTTGCACACGTAGCATTTCATACATCTGAATCTTTTTCTTGGGAGTAGGCGGGATGGTGGGGGAGAAGTGGGGATAGTGAGGGGGAGGTCAAGGGGTATACATGTTTAGAGGTGCCGTGGTCAAGTTGTTAAGTCGCCGAACTGTCAATCACAAGGTCCGCGATTCGAGACCCGCCGCGGCAATAAGGTCCTTTGGCAAGACATTGATCTACATTTGTCACACTTAGCCCAGGTGATGTCTACGTCTATGCTGGTACTCGTCAAAAGCCTTTTCAGCAACTAAACGAGGATATTGTGAATGTAAATGAGTACCTGGCAGGAATTAATATTTAAAATGCTAGAGCGCTGTAATGGCAGCACAGCTAAAGCGGGGTTATAATCTCCAAGTTTGGAAGTGCTTAGTGATTGAAATAAGCGCTATATAAAAACTGAGTATTATTAATATAAGAAATAGATAGCACCTACTGCAAAAGATGGATCCTCCCTTGTCAGGAGCCTCCATTCCTCCTCCATGACCCGTGTGACCATCAGACTGGGACTGCCGGGACTACTCCCGATTCTAGACGACGGGCTTGCGGTAGACGGTGAAGAACCAGGCGAGGTACCTCTGAACCTCTGGAGGAGACTCTCCCTGCTCCCTCGCAGCCTGTCAAAGCATCTCTGGCAAGACAGAAGGGGTCAAGAAGATGATCAATATTAAAGATAAACTTTAGTACTGGTAATGCGATTGCATTGTGAAAGAAAAGGTGTGGAAAGGATCAGAAACAGTTGATCATGTAGCATGAAAGTATTGGTGTGCACTGCAAGGTTCTGGAGTCATCATAATCATAATAAATTTGACCGAGTCTTGGTAAAGTAACAAGCACTCACATAGAAAGCTATATATGGGACAACACACATGGTGTCGGGGCTAGTACTACCTTGATTTCCTTGTCTTTCTATGCTCATTTCTCAGCCAGTATACATTTTCTTCCAAAATTGTTTGGCACATGTCATTTATTTGTAATCTTGAACATTCAGTGTAAGTTTCGTTTGATTCTGTGAGAATTATTATTTTTTTTTTACCAATACTGGAGTTTATCTATAAAGATAAACTTGAGTTCTGGTAACAAAAAAAAAAGAATTCTAGGTACTAGGCCCGACAACATTTGTGTAGTCCCATATAAAATGCCTGTGATATGCATTTTGTTTAAACAGCTTCTGAAGTGACACAAATCATTTGTTTTTTCATAGATCTACTCACATAGCACAATATCTGTGAATAAATAGGCTTGGCCAGCTATAATTAGCATGGCAGCCATCTTGGAGTTAAAAGTTGTTATGTTAATTAACTGTATCGTGTCAATTTTCTTGTTTTTGGGGGGAGCATTTTTCGATAAACTTTGATATTAGTATACACTTTTTCACAGGTTTCACCTCATTACGGTAGATAACTTTACACAGCGTCCGCCTGTCGAACCAAAGATCCCAGTTTGACTCCCAACGAGGCGGATGACTGAAGCCTGCGTTGTGTGTTAACGTGCCCCTTCCCTTGTTCATAGACCCAGGTTATGTTAAGTGGAAAACACTCCGTCCCTCGGATAGGACGTTAAATGGAGGCCCCGTGTAGAGAAGAGTCATTACCTTTGCACGATAAGGACCCACTGCGCCTGTCAAACCAAAGATCCCAGTTCGACTCCCACCGAGGCGGATGACTGAAGCCTGCGTTGTGTGTTAACGTGCCCCTTCCCTTGTTCATAGACCCAGGTTATGTTAAGTGGAAAACACTCCGTCCCTTGGATAGGAAGTTAAATGGAGGCCCCGTGTAGAGAAGAGTCACTACCTTTGCACGATAAGGACCCACTGCGCTATTCGTATAAAGAGTAGGGGGAAACCCCGGTGTAGTGGTCCACCTGCACACACCCCCAGTATAGTACGATAATACTCTGTAAAGAGGTCTGTACTCAAAAGGAAAAAGAAGAAGAAACCTGTGAAAAAGTGTATCTAGATTCTATACTAATATCAACGTTTATCCGAAAAATACGCCAAAAATAACAAGAAAGTTGACACGAAACAGGTAATAAACATAAACATAATAAACAAATTTAAACTCATCATCTTTATTTGGACATTTAATGAATAATTAATTCATTTTGGGTATGTTTTAGTAGGGAATCTCCACGCCGGAGTTACAGGTCAAATTTTGGATGGTCTAGGCGAGTAGTACTAGATCTAGATCTAGATCTAGTAGGTGTCTGAACAAGCGCCCATTTTGTTACCCCCCCCCCCCCACCCCCCGATTTTGAGGCAATCTGCATCTGTCATGCCGTATTCATAATTTGTATTTCTAAGATTTACAACAAACAACAAGAAATACAGACAACGACTGCAAAAAAACAATAACATTTAGCAATAATGAATAATGAGGGCAAGGCCCAAGTAAATGCGATGCCGACCCTTGGCCATGCTTCCCCGTCGGGACGAAGGCAGCGTAAACGGAAGATCAAATCCGCTGGCCACTCACGCTCCAAGCAGTGCCATATAAATTATTCATAGAGCGAGGACAAGCCGTTCTAATTCTACACTCACTTTCCATCTCCGTACATATTTACCTTTCTATAGGCATCTTTCCAGGATGGAGTTGTCTTCTTGTACATATCTCGACGTTTTGAACTTGGTGTAAAGGGAGAATCTGCCATAGAGTCTAGGTGTCACTTTGACCTTTCTAATTAATTTTCCCCGAGTTTCAGCTGTAAGCAAAATAAAAGCACAACTTCACAACTTAGCCTTTTAAAAATGTCTGCCGTGGCTTTAAAATATTTAACACTGTGCTGTGCTTCGTCCTACAGCATATGCGGAAATGAAGTGATAAATATTTATGAAGCTCACTTCATAAGTGAAATCAAAACTTAATCAGTTCAAACACTAACAAATTATTCTACCAATGAGATCCCAGCGGAAAGAAGACCACTTGACAAAAACAACTCAGATTTTGAAAGATTAATGATTAATTAAATGATATGAAGTAGTTTGAGCGATAGATGGCGCTCTTTATCTTCGTGTTATGAGCGGCAGCACATTCACCTTATACTTTTTGTATGAGAAAATCTTTAGTCAGATAGCTTAATTATATTGAACCAATTAAATTGCATATAAGACATGTTTACACTGTAAAATTGTTCCTTTATATCATTTTGAATCCGAAAATATTGATATGAAGTTTTACCGTCACCTTATCCTTTTTTATATTGACAAAATTATTTTTACCTCCTAAATTGCAGATTGTATTGATACTATTAGTTTGGATACTTATGGAAAATATTTCAAAAAATATTTCTGTGTCTATAATCAGACCCGTGGGCACGGGTGGGGGGGGGGGGGGGACGTGCCCCCCAACATTTCCAAGATCGGTTGAACTTTTTTAAATCCCTCCCCAGGACGTCGATCAATTACATGTATGTGCCCCCCCCTCCCCTACCCCCCCCAAAAAAAAAAACAACAAACAAACAAACAAACAAACAAACAAACATCAAACTCTGGCTACGGCCCTATCAATGAATGAGACAATGTACTATGTTTATACTGTAAGAACATTTATGTTCCTCTTAATCATTTTGTATAATTATGAAAATATGAATAAAAGCAAAAAAGCTTTAAAAAAAAAGAATCTCTTTGTTCGTGAATTCTTCTTCGATCTTCTTCTTCTTCGGTTCTTTTCTCCTTTTTCTTTTCCTTTTTTTCCTTCTTCATAGCCAGGTGATTTCGGTACATATTGGAAATGCCCGTCATAGATTTCAATTCCTATTCCTGCCCCATGCATCTCCACTATATAAATAGAAGAAACAAATATTGTATGTGCGTGTGCGCGCGTGTGTATGTGTGTCTGTGTCTGTGTAATAGTAATGGTAATTGTTTTATTGAAAATTCATTTGCAGCCAGATGGCTGAAATGCAAAATTGTGTACATTGCGTAAAAACATGAAATAATTAAAGAAAATAAATGAACTAAAGTTAAATTATCCCCCCTCCCCTATCTGTACATTTTTTTCTTTCACGTAACAGTTAATAATCAAAATAACCATAGAGGAAGGTATGAATTTTACAGTCCGACCCAATCACACACTAGCTCGCCCAACCTCAACTCACACCACACAAACTCTTCACACCCCCCCCCCCCCCCTGTGGCTCACCCACCTCACACCCCTTCACGCCGACACACACACTGCAACCTGTTCAGGTTTGTCCACCTGTACATGAGAGAATTAAAATACAATAAAAACAATAATAATACCCGCATCCATTAACTCTTATCGTAAAAATGCATCGATTTGTTCCCATTTCTGTAAGTGCATCCCCAGTTTCCCCTTTTTGAAGGCTATTTTGTATTCCTCGTTTATGTAATCTTTTAGGATATGTAGTACTACTTCATGTAAAGATGGCAGAGTTCCTTGTTTTCAAGAAATAAGAATGACATACTTCACTAAAAATATGATACAATTTATTACAAATATTCTAGCAGTATTGCCGGATATTCCCATAAAATGAGTTCCCAATCATCACTGTGAATTTCGATAAAATGTAACTTTTGAAATACCTCCTGCCATAATCGTTTAACTTTAAGACAATCTAAAAATAAATGTTGGTATGTCTCTACTATGTCTCTACTTCTTGTCTACAAAAGGAACAAAAATGGTCTGACTCAAAACCAAATTTAAAGAGCTCTCTTTTCGTACATACAGCCCCTTTGTAACTGTTTGTATTGAAACTCTCTTTGTTTATTAATAGAATTGCACATTTCATCCTTGTGAATGTTTCTTTCAACTCCGTCATTCCAAGATCAAATTGACAGTTACCGTATGTAACAATATTCTTTTTGAAGTTCTTCAATGAAGTAATCAAATAATCTCCTAGACTTTATATCACATAGTTTCTGTAAACGTCCAAATATCATCAATTCTATTTCAAAATTTTCAGTGTCCACTTCCATAAAATCACTTTGTATCCATTCTTTTCTGATTGCTGAAAAGATCATTTGAATTCTAAGCAAGCTTTCAGTTGCAAAACCCAAATTAAAAAAGTGTAAGATCGGTTTTAAACGACCTCTGACAATTATATCTGATGCTTGAAGTATACTGTTCTGAAATAGTTCGACATCAAAAAAAAAAAAAAATTTATTGCTGAGACATATACACTAAATATAATCGGATTATTCTTATTTTCTCCAAAGTGTCTGCATTTATTTAATTCTTGCCATGCTTTCAACATGTCTTTATAAAACAATGGTATACCCTTCAAGTCCATTTTATTTATATCATAATTACAAAGAAATATAATTCGACCCCCCCAGTGATCTGAAAAAGTGGTCAAAGGTAACTTTCCAACCTGAATACTTTTCTCCATAGAGCAACCGTTTGATCCACATTATTCTCTGAGTCTTGACAAATACCTTAAAACCTTGCATGCGTTCTGTAGCTGTATGGTTGCATAGATGTATGGATGTATGATTGTATGGATGTACGATTTCCTACGTTCTGATTGGTTAAAACCTTATATCCATTCGATGGATGTATGGTTGTATAATTGTCATGTTTATGGCACGTTCCGCCCGTCATAAGCGTGAGTACGGCGATTCACGGCGCACTTACTTTTACTTTCTCTTCGTCTCTTTTATTACTCATAGATTTCTCCTTATCCCCTGCATCTCTTTTCTTCACTCAGCCTCTCTTGTCTTGTCTCGCCTTTTATCTAGCCACCCTTCTATACCATACGTATTCATACACTGGAGTCATGCTAACATATCCCTTTGCCTCACACCTTCTTCCCAGATCACTTCCCCTCTCTTTCATCACACCCCTCTTTCCATACTCTCACCCCCTTCTCTCTTTCTCTCTAACCCAACCGTCATGTGCACTTTGAAAGAGAGTAAAACTTTTATAGCAAAAGAAAACTAGTTATGAAACAGTTTATGTGAAAGGGATAGTACCAAGTGTAAGTTTATTGTTAGACATTTAGAAAACCGCATGAGATGTAAATGAATATCCAACCTTTATAATGAGTTCATTTATTTGAAAGCAGAAAAAACATAAGAACATTATTTTGAAATAAATCGGATCAATCATAAGAGAGTTATACATGATTGTTTGAAATAGGAGATCATTAGATATTTGCGAATCTCAAATTGCCAATAAGGTTAGAGGACTCTCCCTTTGGGCACTTCATCAATTTATTAGGTTATTATAGGTCCTCTCAAAAAGAAAATACCCTCCTGGGTCATACATTTTGGAAAAATGACATTTTAGCCCTTTGTGTTTAAAAACAATTGGGAAAGTTGTCCGCCGGAATTACATCACAGTGACTTTCAGCCAATTTAAAGTGCCCATACATAGTTATACAAAACCGATTTTTATCAAATCATTCTTTTTTTAATTATTTATGTTAAGATATTGCTCATGGGTGTCGATCCCGGAGGGGAAGGGGGGGGGGATATACCCCCCAATATTTCAGGTGGGGGGATGGCATCCCCCCCCCCAATAATTCACCATAACAATGTTTTTTTTTAAATGAAGAGAAAAATTAATGATGAGAGTCCGATGAGAGTAGTTATTGGTTATTACTCGCAAGATGACCATCAATAAACACATTTTGCTATCTCATTTTCATAATACATACATATATACGAAGTAAATAAGACAACCGTTTATGAGACAAGAATAAATTGAATTCTCGCTCATACGGCTTCATCAGGAATTGATGAATTTATTCAATATTTATTTGTTCAATCAACAGCATCATAGAAATGCAGTGCGCCAAAATGCAAAGACGCAGCATCAAAAGCAACGAGCTAAATGTTAAGCGCTAAGCACAAAAGTAGCAATCTGCAATGCACATCAGACAATCCTGGACAGTGTAAACATAGATGAACTCTGTGACGATTTCGTGATGAGATCGGAGACAAGGAGAAAGATTTTCGGACATTAGTATGACTTATAAAACTATAGTTCACTAGTTGTTATGTTGTTTCCGTGCACCCTTTTTAAAATTCACGTCATTGTATCTTTATTTTTTAATTTTTTTCACTCATTTTATTTCCTGATATTTCCTAAAACATTTTTCATTTTTGGAGAATTATTATGTCACAACTTATTTGTGACACAACTTATTTTCAGTGGGGAAACTGAATTCAGACAAGGATTAATACAGAGAACAGTACAACGAATCGTCTTCTTTCTCTAATAATTTAGCGAACAGGGCAAAGCTGTTAGGGGGGCAATTGAATTCAGACGTGGATTAAGAGTAATAATCAAATGAAACGTCAAAGTACACGATACAACTAATCGTCTTCTTTTACTAATAATTTAATGAAACGTGAAAGCTTCCGCGCTACGCGCGGAATGGGCAAAAATGAATACAGACAAGGATTAAGAGTAATAATTTATTGAAACATTAAAGCTTCCGCGCTTCGCGCGGTAGGGGGAAACTGAATTCATGAAGGACACGATAAAACAAATCGTCTTCTTTCTCTAATAATGTAATAAATGTAAAAGCTTCCGCGCTTCGCGCAGGAATGGGCAAAAATGAATTCAGACAAGGATTAAGAGTCAAGAATGGTACATAGAATCGTCTTCTTTCTTGAATAATCTAATGAAACGTCAGAGCTTCCGCTCTACGCGCGGGGAAGGGGAACTTGATTCAAACAAGGATTAAGAGTCGAGAATGGTACATAGAATCGTCTTCTTTCTTTAATAATCTAATGAAACGTCAGAGCTTCCACGCTACGCGCGGAGGAAGGGGAACTTGATTCAAACAAGGATTAAGAGTCGAGAATGGTACATCGAATCGTCTTCTTTCTTTAATAATCTAATGAAACGTCAGAGCTACCGCGCTACGCGCGAAGGAAGGGGAATTTGATTCAAACAAGGATTAAGAGTCGAGAACGGTTTAACGAATCGTCTTCTTTCTCTAATAATTTAGTGAAACGTCAAAGCTTCCGCGCTTTGCGC